GCATGATCAAGTCATGGCAGTACATATACTTGTAATAGATGAGAAATTGAAGTTTATTTGTGATGGGAAGTTTGACAGCCCCAGTGACCGAGTCAAGCATTGCTATGTACTTTTGCGGGGCCAAAAATTACAGAAGAATCCGACATGGTCTTGGAATTATGCACATGGATACTACCGGTATACCAGAAATAATGGTGGCATGAACCATCGTGAAATGGGACAGCTCACGGAGAATACTGGAGTAGCGCAAATATCTGTAGGTGATTGTAAAATAGTCCTGTTCTGGCTGATAGCTTCGGCCTGCTGCGCCCGTCCATGCACAATGATGGGAACATGCATTTCTGTTTTCTACATATTTGCAAGCTATTGTACTATTGCATTACAGTTGCAGGTCCCTTGTATAGAAATATTTTCAACACCTCCCACATACCCACTCAATATGAACTAACAATTTCACTGTTGGACTCAGATAGAGAGCCAATGATTAATTTATAGCAAAGAAAAGGACCAGGGAATTTCAAGTAACGCTATAATGACCACTAACAATTTCACTGTATTTGGAATAATTTGCTTGATACCCTGAGAACTCTGAAACTTTGCAACACTGTGGATTATATGTGGATACAACATTTATGGAAGGAAAAGTGGAATAATTTCCAACACATTGTTCAAATAATTAGAGCACTGAATTATTGAGATTGTGAGCACATTCCAAACAGCGCTCCACACATTTATAAGCGGTGGCAATCGTTCAGAATAGGTCATGAGTTGTCAGAGTGATCAATTATATAAGAGGATGCTTTGTTTGTCTAATCGACTGCTCGTTTGAAGTCAGAGTTGCTTCCGTCGACTTGATTCTAGACAGTAGTCGAAGGAGTCCTATGCAGTATACACCAGACGTAGTCCGTGAGGTATCTCGTGAGAATTCTGTCAGTACACATCAGGTATCAGCCTTGCCAAGATGGCTCCTCTCTGTTTCTTGAAAGCCTGTTTAGCTGGACTGTGGCTCCAGCGATTCCCTTCTCAGAGCAGAAACCATACCCACTGCGGTCAATGCATATTGGACAGACCTGTGTGCACAACAGAAAGAGTGGAGAGAAACCTCTCAGCTCATGAACACTTTGAAGTTTGAACTGCCGTTGTTTGTGGTCATCAGTATGAACCTATCGCCTGTAACTATAATGTGCAAAAACCTCTATAACTACAGCTGGGGCCATGGAATTATAAAGCATCTAACTTAGGGAACTGCCAATTCTGGTCTGAGTTGCGTTCGAGGCCTGCAATTCATGATGGCTATTGTATGTTGCATTGACCAGAGATCATGTAAAACTTCCTAATGCCACACTGAAACGCGCACCGCTTCGAGTACTATGGTATCCCCCACCAAATGGGCATTCATTCTTGGGGTGGCAGGCATCACCATTCTTCATGCCTGGATCAGATTTCATTGACCCCAACTGTCATGAAGAATCATTTTTACTTCGACTGGATTTCAGTACAAGTTGTAGAACTTTAGAATCAAAATTGTATTATTTGGGCAACCATTTCTCTACCAACGCTCTATTTGGAAAATAGAATTTTTTTTACCCACATCTACCCAAATCGGAATACAGTGATCGCGCATTCAGTCCTACACGGAATTTAGAAAACGCCAGGGAATAGGAATTTGCTAAAGAGAACTCCAGGCCATGGCATACCATGCCATGGGTACTAGTATACGAAAAAAAAACAAGAAAAAACTCACCAGTATACGTGTAGTATAGTAATTCATGTCGGTGTAATACAGTTCACGATACACAACGAGGGAAATAGTCAGCACCCTCCGATTTGGTCGAGCTGCTTTGAAGTCTGGGTGCTCATGTGATGCTAACGGGCTCCCCGTTGTTACTTCCAGCAGCTTCACTCTCCCTGCGACAGCGGCTATCAGCCTCTCTCTCCATCGTCAACAACTATCACAGATTCAACATTCTACATTTATCAGTACTGGGTGAATACGTCTCGAGACGAATTTAGCGGATCAACAAGGCTTTGCTGTAGATAAATTCTCCTCTGGAGGACCCTCAGGATACCTGGAAGGGTATAGAAGACGGGATCGCTCACGACGTTGGGAGAACATAGAAAACAACCTCCTCTTCGATTGAAAATTGGCCAAAAAGTATGTGAAATGTATGTGCGTAGGTGCATTTCCACCGGCAAGCTAATCCCTCATTACGTCATCAGCGCTCGCTCGGCGAAATTCAAAAGTCGTCTTCCCGCTCGACTCGATCGCTTCTGGAGACTCGTTCTTGTTCGAGGGGTCCTCTCTTTCACCTACCTTCGTCTTGCCATCGAAAACTCGGCGTCGAAAATGAAGCCGGAGTGCCCCTTTAAAATAGGAGAAATTTACATGGAAACTTTAGTTAAAGCTAGTCCTCAGGTCGTTGAATGTCTCGGTAGCTTGTTAGCTTTGTGCCTTGGTATCGCACTTTCTGAGTACATGTACTTATTGTCTTGTTACAGT